GGCGCCCGAGGAGAGGGCGGTGGGCGCCCCCCGGGGAAGATGAAGGCGGAGGGGGGCGACCACTCCATGATCAACCTGTCGGTGCAGCAGGTCCTGAGCCTCTGGGCCCACGGGACGGTGCTGAGGAACCTCACGGGTAATTGATGCGCCCGGGCTGGGGACCGGGGTGCGGTGCCGCCCTTGCCTCCTTTCTCCCTGCAGAGGAGGGAAGCGCTCCTCGCCGCCCCAGCCCCGTGCGCGCCCCGCTCGGGAGCTCACGGGCCCAGGTCCTGGCGAGGAAGGAGTTAATCGCCTCGACTCTGCGCGTGTTCCGGGGGCACCCGCGCCCGCCACCCCCTTCCCTGAATCGCCGGGGGATCATCCATAACCCCTGCCTCCAGCCCTGCACGGGGAGGGCTCCAGGCGGCCCTGCCCCTGTAGTACGCGCGGAGCAGCGTCAGTGCTAAGACTTGAGCACAGTCAGCTTTGATTTCATTACACTCCTCCCCTCCCCCTTTCTCTCTCACACACCGCTCCTGGCTGTTTATATCTTTTACTGGTTTAGCTTTTTCTTTCTCACAAATCTGAAACCAAATGCAGGATTTACATTCCCTGCTCACAGTGATCAATTTGCTTCGACCGTTAATTTTTTTGGCAATAGAGATGACTGGGCAGATTTTAGTGGGTCAGGATCTGGGCCAAGGTCTAGTTCATTCTAAGCATTTTAGCGTTATGTATCTCCTCCCCCTCCCATTTCCTTTTGTCTGTCTGTCACCTTCTGGCCTCAAGCTGCTGCTTCTGTGACATTTGATAATTTTGTGTATTTCCCTTCATTCGTCAAAGCTATCAGGAATTGGACTTAACTACGTTATAATAACATCAATTTCTGTTTATTAAAGTGAACACTAATACATGTAATTTTTTAAAAATCTAATTTGTAGCTTTGCTTTGTGAAAAAACTTCTGGTTTTGTTAATATGGAAATGCTCATATTATAGTCTTGAGTTCTGAATTTTAAAAATTTCTTCCAAAGTGTAGTATTTTCAATAAAGAGATTCGGTTGCAATTTGGTGACTCCTCAGTGCCTGCTTTTCAGCAAAAATTCTTAATATACTCAATTTAATTTTTTAAAATGTGTAAGTCAGTTAATTTCAATAGAACTTTAATATTTCAAAATGCATTTTGTCTAACTTAGGAATATTTTACAAATACAATCTGTGTCGACAGGATATACGAGTGCATATAAACTATATATATAAAATATGGCATGATACAGACAGAATTCAGATGTTCACAGAGAAAAATTTATGAAATGATATACCAGAAGGACAACATTAAGGACACTGGTTTCCATGACTTTAGAAATTACAATTGAGGTAGATTCTGGATTGATTCATGGTATCTCCACCACGCTCAGCCAGTGAGCGCACCGGCCATCCCTATATAGGATCCGAACCCACTCTCCCGAGTGAGCCACCGTTTCGGCCCGGTCCACATTTTGAGTCACCTAGGGAGATTGAACAATTACAAATGGCCAGACCTCATCTCTATACCAAACGAGTCAGAGTCTGTGGAGGTAGAAGCCAAGCACAGTGGTCTTTAAAAGCTCCCAGCTGATTCTGATGTGCACTGATGGTCGAGAACGTTGCTCTAAAGCAGTGATTCTCAAAGAATGGTCTCTGGACCAGCAGCGTCAGCATCACCTGCGAACGTGTTATAAGTGCAAGTCCTCAGGCCCTATCACAGACCTATTGAACCCCAAAACTCTGGTAATCTAAGTAGAAGGTAGTGGCTTGGTTTAGGGTAATAATCAATGAAGTGAAGTGGGTGAAAAGTGGACAGATTTGGAAAAGATTTTAGAAGGTGAATCAACAGGATTAGCAGACGGGTTAGATGTGGGGCAGATGAGGAAAAGAATCAAAAATGACTCCCAGGTTTTTAGCCTGACCTTCTAGGTGAATGG